AAATCGCGCGGCGGCGCGGCGGCGGGGCCCGCCGGTCGCCAGAGGAGGCCCGCAGGTGGCGCGGACGAGAGCGCTTGGAGGAGTGGGACGCTGGATGGGTCGCGGGGAGGCAGAGCCGCGGCGGCGTCGGCCGATCGCAGTAGACGACCGCCGCGCGCTGGCGGCGCCCGCATTGTCGCAACGGGACAGGCCGAGGGGAGGGCGGAGCCGGCGAGGGGGCAGGGGACCGGGGCCATCCATAGCCGCGTGCGGTGGCGGTGGCGCGCGGGTCGATGTCGGGGTGGCGGTATGGTGACTCGATACAGGCTGGATTTTGCATCGGCCGGTTTTCCCCGGTTGGGCAGAGTCGGAGGACGGAAGTGGAGGACGGACTTGGAAAGATTTCTAGAGGCCGAGACGAGAGCGGCTTATTTCTCGCTCACGTGCGCCTTTTGAACGTGGAAGCGGCAACTCCCGAAACAAATCCTACCGAATCCAATACTCGGCTTCGCTCGTGTTTTAATGGGCTACTTGCGGTTAAGTGCCCCCCCGCGAACTTTACTCTATTTTTGAGCTCGTTTTAGCTCTGGTACGTCGAAGTCTCTCGTAGGCTAAAACATCAGAAAACCCCCTAAACTTTAGATGATCACCAGAAAACCGCCCTAACTTTAGAAGTATCAGGGAACCTCATTAAGTTCAGGGGGTTTTCGGGAAACCCCTTTGAAAATTTATCATGAAGCCCCGTAAGTTAGGGGAGTTTTTTTTGGTAAGATCTCAAAGTTAAAAGGGGTTTCCCGATAAAATTTGAAAGTTAAAGCGGAGACTTTTGATAATCCCTACACTTAAAGGTGTACGTTTTCTTCTGATGTTTTGAAAGTTGAAGGGGATTTTCTGATAATTGCCTTTTCTTTTATGCCAAAAAATGCCTCAAATTTCAAAACTTTACCATAAATTTTAATTTGATACCCTAGAGTTTAACAAAACTTTACCATAAATTTTAAGTTTGGGCATCAAATTAAATTTTGTTGAACTTTGAGGTGTTTTCGGGGCAAAAGAATTTTTAGGATCAAAGTTAAAGATAAGGTAAAGTTTGTGATATTTAAGTGCAAATAAGTGATTAACCCTATTTTTACTGGTTTAAAATCTTTAAATCCGAAATCGAATATCCTTCTCTTGGATTTGTTAAATCCGAGCATGCACAGTAATATTATTTGACTAACAATTTAAAGTGTATAATTTATAAACTTTTTCGACAGGTTATTTGATGAAAGAAACCAAAGAAATTTGACTCAGTTCATCAATATCATAGTTAGTTTTCAAGAAATATAACGTTTACAAAAATCTATATTTGGGCATGTAATTCTATGTGTTTGCCAACACATATATGTGTGTGTCATTGGTGTTGTAAATATGATCACTAAATCTTCTAAAGTCTATCAACATCAAAATGTTCAAAATTAGTATAATTTATTCAAATAATAATTAGATATAAAAAAATTATTTCAAGGATGACACTCGTATCATCACATGCAAAGAAAATTTCTGAGGCAACTCTAATAACTAGATATAAAGTCCTGTAGTTGGTTAAAGCTAGACTATGCATTATGCAACATCTACTATAGAATATGTTAAAAACAATTGTAGTTGATGTATTTGTACTCGAGCTTTGCTGTAGCTTTTCCATTAATGTAACAAGGTATATAATTATTTAATATATAAATCAATAATAATGAGGAATAGGTCACATACACAGCTACATACATACAATTAGCACTTTAAAGAAATAGAATGAGTAAAGAGAAAATTGTTAATACTCAATTCACGGGGTCAATTAGTGGACAAATGAGGTGTTGTATGCGTTAGATCTTTATTTCGTGTAGGATCTCAAAAATTCAAAAGAAAATGATGGTCATATATCAATCCACAAGCAATATATTGAGTCAAGAAAGAAATGCTCATTAGTAAAATATTAATCTGCAAAAAGAAATTGATATGATAAACCAACATTATTGTATGACATAGTTGTGACTCCAGTACGCATCTTTATAGTCAAAATATGAATAATCATAAAAAATTATGTTTATAAATTAGTAAAAAAATCTCTGCGTTTTTAAGCCTTTGCATGTATAATCATAATGAACCATCATTTTTCATTTAATAATCGTTATATGTGTAAACCTAAGAGCAAGATCAGCCTAAACATCTTACCAATTCATTGAAGGAACACTTGTAGCACCAAAAGGTAAATTTCGTAATTTTCTATTGAATTTTGTACATCTATTGTGCTGAAGTTAACTGGAGGGGGTTTTCTACAATTAACTTTGTAAATAGCCCTTACATTTTAGATCCTTTTGCATCATAAACCCCATTTCCTTCTCTTTCTCTCCCTCGGACGGTCTCTCTTCCTCCGTGGAAAAACGAGCAATCTGACCACGATACCTCTCTCTCTCTCTCTCTCTCTCTCTCTCGTTCGCCCAATTCTCAAATCCGAGTGGTTCCCCTCAACGAGTTCAATTCAAGGAAACCCTAGCAATCTCCCAACCATCGATCTTCCATATCCAAGAAAACCCTAGCAAAATCAGAGATCTGAACAAAATCTAGAGATCTAGCGGCGATCGCCTTCAGAGTTTCGATCCGATCTGCACTGGATTTTTCTCTTGGTCTCGGATCCTGTTCGTATTTCTCATGGAATCAGCTGGTAAGCCTTTTTTATTAAATAAAAATCCTTTCCTTTTCGAGTGTCTTTGCTTAGTGATTATTAGATCATTCTTGAGCAATTACATTGTACATGAATTTGAGCGGTGCTGGAAGAAAATCATTATAATCGCAGATGCAGGTCTTAACTTTGAGGAGTTGTTCGCATTGATAAAGTTGATTTATGATTCTTTATTGATGCGTGCAATTTTTTTAATTCTTTTGAGCTGCAGATGATAAGTTGAGGGATACTTCTGTGGTTGTTGTTGTGTTGGAAACGAGTGAAGTGTACATCATAACAAGCTTATCAACAACTAGTGATACACAAGTAATCTATGTGGATCCAACAACGGGTTCGCTTTGTTACCGAGGGAAGCTCGGTTACGATATTTTCAGATCCGAGGATGAAGCTTTGAGATACATTACTGATGGATCAAGGATTTTGTGTAAGGGTACTACATATGCTAGGGCTTTACTTGGTTACGCGGCCCTCGGAAGCTACGGATTGTTGTTAGTTGCGACAAGGCTAAATCCTACTATTACAAATTTGCCAGGTGGTGGGTGTGTTTACACAATCGTAGAAAGTCAGTGGATCAAAATTCAGCTCCAATATCCCCAGCCTCAAGGTAAAGGCGAAGTGAAGAATATACAGGAATTGGCGGAACTTGATATTGATGGGAAGCACTATTTTTGTGAGAGTAGAGACATAACACGTCCTTTTCCCAGCTGTATGACCTGTGATAACCCAGATGACGAGTTTGTCTGGAATAGTTGGTTTTCAAAACCTTTCAAAGATATCGGGCTTCCAAAACATTGCGTCATTCTTCTACAGGTGCTTATCTTTGCCACTGAAATATGATTCAATCTCATTTTGTTTGTCATTTTTTTGGCCACAATGATCATCTATTTAGTGATCTAAAAACCATGGTTTTATGTGAACAAAATTTTCCTTAATGCAATTCGGTGGGTCATTGGTACATTGAATGAGCATTACATGTAAGTAGTGTTGTATGCTTATATAACTGGTATAGCGCATGAGTGCTGCACGTGAATGTATTTTTTAGACAAAATAACACTTAATATTTTATAGTTGACATGACTTTGCACTTATACCTTAAGTATTTTTTTTGACATTTAAGTACCTTATTGGTTTTAAAAGTAACACGTTACTAACTTCTTTAGTAAAATACTGAAATATCATTGTTAAATGTTGGCTTATCCTCCTAAAAACTTCTATGTAACTTGCATATGAGAATGAATTGGTCAATTGCACCCCTAAGGTCGGTAGTTATAAGTAAAAGAATCATATCCTCTTTTTTACTCCTAGTTATAGACTTATAGTTTGAACATACTGAATACTTGAATACCGAAGTCTTGTATATTCAAGCATGACTAATAAAGAGTTTGACCTGGCAACTATGTGCAATAAACTTTTCTCCAAAAAAAAAAAAAGAAAAACAAAACTATGTGCAATAAACACCCTCTTCTCACATCCTCATAGTTCATGGATATTAGTTTGGAATTCACTCTGTTGGTATCTACAAAAGGGACAACCACTTAAAATTAAGAATAAATGTCTATTTATTAAAGTAATCAGGTTCCCCAAAAAAGGTGCAAAAGCAGCAGGATTTTGACCAAAGCAAGTACAAAAATTTCACAGCAATGTGCAAAAAACTATAACAATTCTATTTAAAAAACTTTTAGTATGCTAAAGTTGGACTACCTTAAAAATGATTTTTTTGGCCAATTAGCAATTATACAAAATTAAAGCAAACCATCACCAAATGTTAACAAACAAACACTACAAAAAAATCCAGTACTAAACCTTAGACCTCGTTCCTAATACCTAATTGACCTAAAAAGGTTTCTCGTCACCCCAAAAAAAATTCAATACTACCCATTAAAAACAGACCTAATGAACCCTTTAAAATTCAAACTTTTAAAGCACTCAAGTGCATGTATGATCCTAAATTTGATTCAATCTACCAAATAAAAAACAAAATTACACATCCAACAAAAATATTAGAAAATTAAATGGAAGAAACGGATATGCTCACCGGACTTAGGACAATCTATGAGCGAGATATGGCACGATGCATCATTACCGCCTTTTGCTACGCTCTTCTTGTGAAATTGGTTTTTTTAATCGGTCGTTATTTGTCATCTTTAGTTTTTCTAAAAGGAGCAATTTTATCAGCAATATTTTAATTAGAATACTATAAACTATTGTCAGAAATGAAAAAAAAACTTGTAGAAGTAGACCAAAGAATGAACTTTTAAGCAGCAACACATGAATTATACAAGCAAGAACTTACATTTATGTGTAGATGCTAGATATTAAAAACTGCACCGAATCCCAATAAAAATAATATAATATAACCTTGATGAAAAGTGTAACCCAATAAAAAAGCTATACACATACCTCTTCAATAGAAATAAGAGAGAAATAATTAGCAGGCACTTAATAGAGAGAAAGAAATTGTAACCAAAGGTTGTATACATTATTAATATAGAGAGTATGAGTGAATACTTTAGCAATTCAATACCCTGGAAGACAAACGATTGACCTCATTAAATGTTGTGTATAACCGATGCCTTTGTGTATAACTGAAGGTTGTATAGCTCATTAATAGGAAAAAACTATGTGTGAATACGTTAATAATTAAATATCATGGAAGACAAAGAGGTGTTTACCTCATTGGCCATCTTCTATTACAATTATGCAATTATAAGGAATAATAAGATTAATGAGGAATTATACAATTATGAAATTGTTAAATGTTCTACCTTTATATCCAAAGTTTCTGGCTAATGCACTATGCAAGTTATACTGTAGTTTTGAAGTATATTATACTTTAGTTATAATATATTACAGCATATTTTTAGTCTATATGCTTGTTTTATGTTTAATATAGTGTAGATAATAAAGTTCAGTATAGTATAAATAGTGCATGTATGCATGTGTCTGATTTGAAGGGGTATAGTTTATGTACGCATGTATGTGTTATATGGATGCATGTATGTGTTTTGGAGGCATTTTTGGAAGAAAATAATTTAACATCCTACAATTTTTATAATAGTATAGGATTATTAGAGTAACAATTGGGGTTTGTCATTTGTAGTAAAGGAACTTTGGGTTTTTAACACCAAACAGAGCACTGTTAAATGCTTATACTACATATGCACATATTTTCCTTAAGGTCATTATAAGTTGTATGTGAGAAAAGTTCAGAATTAGAAGCTTTGATTTGGAGCTAAGAGTAGTGAGTGGAATATGTCAGAATGAAGGATAAAATGATGAGGGATATATGCATGGCTTAGGTGGTGTGTTAACTGGTTATTCTGAACTAGTGGTTGCTATTAGTTGAGGTTACAATGGTTGACGCTAAGCTAGTTGAGGTTGCAAAGACTAGGGAGGAGGGTCAAAGGTTAGTATCAAAAGAAATGGTAGGAATTTTAGGACTTTGTATCACAGATAAGAAGAGTTTGACTTTCTGAGGGTGGAAAAGGTGATATGGCGGCTTTATCTTTTGTGGAGTGGATTTTGAAGCCAAATGCTTCAGCTAATATTCTATAAAAATTGATGTGCAATGAAGAAGAAAGATTTTAGGGATATTTTCCTTAAGGTATAAGTAAAGACTCACATAATCAAGTTGGCATTATGACATTATCCACTTCTCCAGATTGCCAAATTGTTCTCATGAAATTTAGATGGGGGAATATTGGAGGTAGGAGACAAAATGGAAGCTGATACAAAATTATTCGATGAAGAATCCATGTAGGAGCTATTTAAATGAAATGTCATAAATTTTTTTCATTTTTCATCTTTTTGTTTCTTAAAAGTAGAAAAAGGAAATTGATGTAGGATAAGTTTGCATGCATACTAGTATGGATATGGGTATGGGACTTAGCAAATTTGTGAAAGGTAAGGTATGAGGAAATAAGTATATATGGATGTTATGTGTATTTATATATATTAAATTTATAATTTACATAAGATCAATACTGTTTTTTTATTTACATAAGATCAATATATAAGAAATAGATGTGAAGTGTAGAAATGTGTCCAAGAAGTGTATGAGGAGTGTTGTAAATAAAAAATCGTATTATATAATTGGATATACGCCTCAATAAATGTATGCATATATTCAAGAAGTTCAAAACAAGTTTCGGTGTGAGTATGGGTACATGTTGTATTTGGACACAGCTTCTGATAGAAGTACCAAGGTAATATAGGATGTAGGAGAAGAGAGCAAAGCAAAAGTGAGGGAGCGTATACATATTCTTTGTAGTTGTGGTCTAGCTGTTGTTTGTGTTGTGTACACGGTGCATGAGGCTAAATCACATATCTAGAACACAATGATGTAGTGTACTAAGTGTCAGATGTCGAGGGCATCAAGGATATGTCTGATGGAAATATTCCATTTCCATATTGAATGGCTGATATTATAAATATGGAAATATTCCATTGCCATATTTAATAAATATGGGGATGGCATATTGGATAATGTGCGTGTGTATCATAAATGTTCGTACTTGATGCACCAAAGAATGGGGTTGTGGAGAAGGTGGTGTCTTTTGCAAAATTTTTGTTAAAACTTTTGCAAAAGAATTTGATCTCAATTGAGCTGTAATTCATCTTTCCTGTTATTCACATAAGTAGTTATTTTGTTTGGGTCAGCTCAAAATTGCGATATTTCAACTGATTTGTCAGGCCGAAAGTTCACTTGATATATCAGAAATATCATGATAAATTGCCCGCTGCCAAAGGTAGTAAAGGATACTGAGATCATATTGTTTTGCGGAAAGACTTATAATGGATATGTTGGCCGATATATAATATTTAAAGCAATGCAATGATGATAGGAATCACTAGATAAAAATCTATTGCAATGCAATTTAGAGGAGGTGCGAAGATCACGACCATGACTTCAAGTCGTATAAGTATGGTTCATATATTTTGTTTGGCTATGGTTGGTATGTAATCATGATTTAACTCTGTGTTGTTTAATATCACGGCACAGAAAGGGATGATCGTGTTAGAAAATTTTGTAAGAAAATTGTAGCAATAAATTCTCTTGAGAAAATAAGTTGCAACTAAATAGAGCTTTCCTGTTGTGGGGGTTGCTGTGGTCTTGGTGTATGTTAATGTTCTGTTGAATGGTTCAAAGATCACCACATTATGAATGTGATGTAACATTTTCAAGTTATATAAATCAATAGTTTCAGGTGCAATCATATTCTCTGTCAAGAATTCCATATCAGGAAACGGGACAAATTAGTTAAACATGGTGCATCCACAAATTAAATAGATTGTGAATCAATCATTTGCGCGTTCTTTTTTTAAGCTTCTCAGCAGGGTACACATCGTTGAATGTCTTTGACATGTCTGTTACCCTTTACAATATTTAGTATATGTAGAAATGTGATATCCATTATGTATTCATCAGATGCAAAGTATCTAATGATTGGAAATTTAACTTATGCAGATTCTCGCCAATGTACCTGTGCAGCGTAGCCTTAATGTACAACTTATATTTGTTCATTTACATAAGTTTTATGATCCAACTCATAGCATATAAAGATCTGTTATTCAACTATTGCTTGAGAAACTTAGTTGATAATATGTCTTTGACCAGTTCTTTAGTAGCCTTTGTACCATAGTTCATCATGTTGATATGCTATTTTTAGGGATTTGCTGAGTCCAGAAATATTGGCGGCTCAATGCAAGGAGCAAGAGTCGCTCTCCTAGCACGCCGTAGTAGATTGCATCCGGGAACTCGCTATTTAGCCAGAGGGCTGAACGCATGTTCTAGCACAGGTGAGTCAGCATTTCCTCTGAGATCTGAATACCTTGTAAAGGTTGATGTGTTTGCAAGTATTTAACTAGAGGAGGTTAATCTAACTGGACTTAAGTGAGCACTCTGCATTATATCCACTTCTTAAAGATCTCCTAAAGGATATTTTGGTCGTGAACATCGGTCCATATGTTCTGACATCTTTTCTGATATCTGTTTATGACTCACAAGATCATCAATAGTTATTTGTGTGATAAAAGGATTACCAACACCATTGTTTAAGTATCAGTCTTTAAGATGCGGAATAACTATATTTTGAATGTTTATTGTGTCTATTCTTTTAGATTTATGGGTTGAATCTTGTACTGGTGTTTACATAAAATTGATTCAATAACTCTCAATATCCCAATAAGATTTACTTGTATCGTTGAATTCAGTAACTTTGAATAAATGTGTAAAATGGGTAGTTCTTTTTATGCTTTACATACATGTATTGCGAGTGGTGGCAGATCATTTTGCTAAATGAGCTATCAAGAGACGATCATATGGTGATGCCCGCCATGCTCATCACATATGATGGGTGGTGACACGTACTTTGCTTGTCACATAGGATGTCTAATCACCCTTCATCTCTTGGTAGTTCATTGCACAACATGAGCCGCGAGTTCATGTCCATCAAACCCCATCAAACCCATGTGCGGAGATAACTCATAGCCATTCTAAAGGGAAATGTGTCTGATGCATATCATCAATATAGGACTTAGAAAGAAAAATTCTGCAAATCATAGAAATACCATGTCAGATGCATGCTTTATATACAACTTCATGATATGAGTATCCATGCAACATATGTCTACATATGTCTACTTTGGTAACCATCTTTTTGCCTCCTTCAGTTGATTGTTGGTGCTAACTAATTTTTCCAAGCTGTACTTCGTTTCTCCATCCTACCTCTAAAAGTCCCTCTAACTATTACGCCATAACTCCAAAGTTGTGGTGAGGATTGAGGGTTCTATTTTAATATTCTAACATATGCCGCCGCAGGTAGAGCGTCCTTTTTATGAGCTGAAAGCTGGACTAATGTAACAGTGTCAATTTTTAGTAAATCACTCTCTTCATGTTATTTATTTCCACCCGCCCAGTAAGTTGAATACCACATATTTCTTCACTTCAACACTTTGTACCTTGTTTCAGTGTGCTGCTTACTTTCTCACTCATTTCATTTAGTTGCACCAGTCCGTTAGTATAATTATTTGCTATCTATAATAGTTGTTCAGTCTCTCTATCAGAACCAGTCCATACATTCTTTCTATACGTGACCTAATTTTTTACTTCACATTTTTAACAGGAAATGAAGTGGAGTGCGAGCAACTTGTGTGGGTTCCTCGGAGAGATGGACAAAGTGTCCCATTTAATTCATATGTGTGGCGACGAGGTACCATACCAATATGGTGGGGGGCAGAGTTGAAGTTCTCTGCTGTGGAAGCTGAAATTTATGTTTCAGCTCAGGACCCCTACAAAGGAAGCTTGCAGTATTATCAGAGATTAAGTCGTAGATATGGTGCTCGGGATCCCCGTTTATCCCTACAAAGGAAGCTTGCAGTATTATCAGAGATTAAGTCGTAGATATGGTGCTCGGGATCCCCGTTTAAGTGCTGGTGGACAAAGGAAGACTCCTTTGGTACCTATCATTTGTGTTAACTTACTTAGAAATGGAGAAGGAAAGTCGGAAACAATTTTGGTTGAACATTTTAGGGAATCTGTAAAATATATCAGATCAACTGGGAGACTTCCTCAGACATGGATTCAGTTGATCAATTATGACTGGCATGCTACTGTGAAGTCAAGAGGTGAGCAGCAGACTGTGGAGGGGCTATGGAAGCTTGTAAAACCACCCACAATAGCCATTGGCTTCTGTGAAGGAGATTATTTTCCTTCACCACTGCGCCTCAAGGAATGCAAAGGATCAGTGGTTTGTAGCAGGGATTTTGATGGCGGTTTCTGCCTCAGATCTCTTCAAAATGGAATAATACGTTTCAACTGTGCAGATTCCTTGGATAGAACAAATGCAGCTAGTTATTTTGGTGCTCTCCAAGTTTTTGTAGAACAGTGTAGTAGGTTAGGCATATCTCTTGATAGAGATTCAAATTTTGGCTTTTCATCAGTAAATAAATACACAGGATTAGGGAATTATGGAGGAAAAACTGGTCACTGCCATCCAGGATGGGAAGGAGCGTTCTGATGCTGTAACAGGCGAAGCCTTTCTATATTGATCATAACACACGAAAAACCACTTGGGAGCATCCATGCCAGGACAAGCCTTGGAAGAGATTTGATATGTCATTTGATCAATTCAAGAGCTCAACAATGTTAGGTCCGATAAATCAACTGGCTGATCTTTTTCTTTTAGCAGGTGATATCCATGCAACCCTTTATACTGGTTCAAAAGCCATGCACAGTCAAATCCTCAATATATTTAGTGACGATGGTGGTGGGAAGTTCAGCAAATTCTCTGCGGCTCAAAATGTTAAAATCACTCTGCAGAGGAGATATCAGAATGTTCTTGTTGATAGTTCTCGTCAAAAGCAGTTGGAAATGTTTCTTGGAATAAGGCTCTTCAAGCATCTTCCTTCCGTGCCAGTTCAACCCTTAAAAGTAGGTACAAATAACTGGTACTTTTGTCAATTTATGATATTAGATTCATTTAATATGATTGTTTTTAAATGCTTTCTTCTGTTAATTTTTGGTATTGCTACTATATAGCATTGTTGCATGATTGCATCTACTGCAGACAATACAAATTTTGACATCCAGATTAGTATTTTCATGTCTTGTGGTACCTACTTAACAAAGGAATATCTATCAGATGTTGCATTAGGTATTTATGTGGAGAATTTTTGTCTTCTTGGGACTGGTTTTCTCACAGCTTCTCGAGGGCTCAATTCGTTTTTAGAATGTTATATTTTTGGTAGCCACCAAACACACAAATTCATGAAACATAGTGCTTTGTTGAAAGGATTCCAGCTAATAGAGGATTGTTTTTTATTGTGTTGCTAAGAGAATGGAGAAGATTTGCATGTATTTTTATTGAATTGGATGTAAATTACAGTGTGTTGTGCCAGAAAATTTGCTGGGTCAAGGAAAGAACGTGTAACTAATATTCTATGAAAATTATTTTCATTTAGAGGTCAGGTGATGCGAAACGGGATAGGGGGTCTATCAGAATCAGCGATCTAAATCAAATAATGCACCGTTTCACCAAATTTCATGATTTTTGGCTGGAAATTAAATTCAAACAACTAATGTGACAGATGAGTTTAACAAGATTTGCATCAATAATTATGAATAATTCCAATCTCGATCAATTTAATTGCAACATTTATTATCATTGCACAAGTTCAACAATCAATATCAAGTTTTAACAGTCACATGCTCAGTTACTCTCAACTCACAAATATAATCTAAGCAGTGAATATATGATAATAGTTAAGAGGTGGAATACTTATGCAATTAACTAATAAAATAAGATTAACAGAAAAATAAAGAGGATACAAAACCTTCGTTGGTATGAACAAACTCAACGTGAGAGACTCTGGAAATGGTGCGACGACGTTGAACTGGCTGACGACGACGGCGGCGAATTTGAGTGACGACGATTGCGGTGAACTGAGTGATGACGACGTGTGCGACGGCGTCGAACTGGATGACGACGTAACGACGGGACGAGGTGATGTGATAACTCGTGGGTAGGCGGCTGGAGGGGAGGTGAAGAGTTGGGGGTTTCGGCGAGGACTAGTGTAGGAGGCAGTGTCCTGTGTTGGGGGGAAAGGGCAGGGGTTTGGTTGCTGGCAGGGCTGATCGGCGAGGAGGAGAGCAGGGGAATCGACGGGAGTAGGAGGAGGGGGCTTTTGGCAGAGGAAAGAACGGGAGTTGTGGGGCGGTGAGGTGTCTCAGAGTGAAGGAGAAGAGATGAGAGGGGTGTTCGGCTTTTGTTGGGGGTGAGGTTTTTTTGTCAGTGTTTGTGGGAGGGGAGATGGAGGAGACGTGGTTTCGCTGGAGTGCAGGGGAATGAGTTCGCTGGCTATGTGTTGTTAGGGGAGAAGGGCTAGGGCTTGGTGGGTGAAGAAGAGGAGGAGGGAGTCGATGACTGGAGGGCTAGAGAGGGACGGAATAAGATTGGGTTTGGCGGCTGGAAGGAGAGAAGAAACGGGAGAATTGTAGCTAGGGTTTCACACCCATGAGGTTTCACACACTCATTAATTCAATTAGCCACAATTTTCTTTGTTCAAATCCATTCCCCAAGAATTACAATAGTGTTTAAATAGAAAAGCAAAAAATACAGATCTGGGAAAATCCCTCAAATCATTCAATTGCCAAAACTGATAACTACTAAATTTAAACCTAATTCAAAATTCAAATCTAAACTAAAATTAAATTACAATTCAAATTTCAAATTTCAAATTTCAAAATTAAGATAAAAGTCAACTAATCAAATATGAAAATTGTCATATCTTGTCCTCATCATCAGGTCAGGAAAGACAAAAGACCAATAATAGGTTACCCCAATCCATTTCATTTCAAAGATGCATATATGCAAGTGATAGAGGTCGCAGGCTAGTTTAGTTGGTGAGAACAAATTCTAATAGTAAATACTAATTAACAGTTGCAATTTAAGTAATACTTATTTTTTGGAGTTCAGTTCTTTAATTGCAGATTTTTTACATCAGAAAACAAGAAAATATATCAACAGGAAATTTGGAAGAGAATAGAATAAGAGGAAAGTCAACTCAGAGTTTCAGCTTCTTTCCTGCTTATGTTGTTTGTGAAAGTATGGCAGAAATCATATTGCATGTAAGCCAATGTTTTTTAATGAGATTCCTCTTGTGGCTCCTCTGTACTGGTGTGGTCTTAAACAATTTCTAGAAAGTGGTTCCCACTTCTGGTGCCGGAACGCATTGGGAATAATTTTAATAGGATTCAGATAGTTGCACCCTGGATAGAATTTGTTCCGAAAAGTGTTTTAAGCATGGTGCCAAATGCCCAGTCATTATGTTGTTATATGAAACAATGTTAGTTATACAGTATTACAGCGTGTCTTGTTGTTATAGATGATTTCTTAAAATCAATGCAGTTTTCCTTTTCATTGTCGCTGCTGGTTTATGATGCAAAATTTTCGTGAGTTATAATATTGCTGGCCTCCTTAGCATTAATTGTCTATCTTCTCAACTTTGATCTTTGCAGGTGTTATCACGACCATCAGGGTGCTTCCTGAAACCTATCCCGAGTATGGTATCTGTTGCAGATGATGGTTCTAGCCTGCTCAGTTTCAAGAAAAAGGAACTAGTCTGGGTATGCAAAACTTCATCCTTAGGAATGGATACTTAGAGATCTTCCTGAGAGTTAGCTAAGTTTTCGGTGTTATTTGTCATTTGCTCCCTGTGCAAGTCTAGTTGTGAATGACACATATATTCTTTTAACAGGTATGCCCACCAGCTGCAGATGTTGTTGAACTCTTTATCTATCTCGGAGAACCTTGCCATGTTTCCGGGCTTCTTTTCACAGTGTCACATGGTGTTGAAGATTCATCATATCCGGCAACTGTGGATGTCAGAACTGGATGCAATTTAGATGCACTCAAGCTTGTTCTTGAGGTTTGTATTTACTGTTACTAATGATTATTCTTTTTAACTATGTGATGCTAATGATTATTTCTGTATTACTATGCATTTTTCTACCATAATTCACTTAATGAATTAGATTTGATTCTTTTCAAAATGTTTCCCCCATATCTGCTTAGCATAAGGTGCATAATTTGCTACATTTCCATCCTTGGAGATGACTATCTTTGACAGTCTGAAGCATGCTTATGATATCTGTAGGCTGCTGATATCTCTGTGCTTCCCTTGTATCTGCTTAGAAAGTGCAATAATTTGCTAGATTTCCATCCTTGGAGACTTGATTATCTTTGACAGTCTGAAGCATGCTTCTGATATTTCTATTATGGTGTGATCTACCAAGGTTCTAAATTTTTGTTTAGAAATCTGAACTAGTGTGCACCCCGTGCAAAGCACGGCCCTTTTTTATTTCCGCTACAGTAATCCTTTTTAAGCGCTGCAGTTTTTTTCAAATGCTACAGTAATAGTTAAAATTCTATAGTGTTCTGATATTGCTACAGCGATATTGCTACAGTAATAATACTACAGTAGCATTTGCTGTCGCATGAATAGTGAATCTTTGGATCCTCCTATAAGTATAGAGGAGTAGATATGATTCGGCTGAGTTATAGTTACTAGTTCCAATTGGATACAGCTATTTATTCTTATTGTACCCATTAACTAATTTACTTCATAAGGAATGCAGTGCAGCTTACTGCTTCCTTTTTCTATCTCCCACATTTTCCTTGTTTCCTTTTCCAGTACTGCAAAATAGACTTGGTATAATATAGTTTCTTATGTCAAATGGTGCGTAGCTGATGTTAAATTCAACATGCAATTGTTCTGCTCATCTACTGTTCTTTTGGCCACCAAATGAGCTGTCTACGATTAATATTATCTTTATCATGCTCAAGAATCTCTTACCTGAAGTTTTTCCCTTCTTTTGAGTTACTATTATCTCATGTTGCATTATACGATATGCTGTACTAATTGTCTTGCTGGTGCAGGGTGCTTGTATACCTCAGTGTGCAAGTGGAACAAACCTCATGATTCCTTTGACAGGTAGAATTGATCCAGAAGATATAGCTGTCACGGGTAACAGTGCACGCTTACACACTCAAGAAAGCTCTTATCTCCCTTTGCTATACAACTTTGAGGAGTTGGAGGGAGAGTTGAACTTTCTTACTCGTGTTGTGGCACTTACGTTTTATCCTTCTGTTCCTGGAAGAACTCCTTTAACGCTTGGTGAGGTACACATCTAACATTGATCTTTATATAGTTTGTGTGTGTGTGTGTTCTTCTATATCAATGTTCCTAAAACTTTCTCCTTGTTTTTAGGTTTTAACACCCAAATGTAGATAACTTAACAACTAAGTTGGCTATATCGACTTGTAAAGGTTACATGTTTCACTTAAGGGAAATTATGCTATTTTCTCTTTTATTTGCAATCTATGTATATGTATGCATGCATGTGTGTGTGTGTGTGTGTGTGTGTGGTGATACTGGATATGCTCCACTTTATTTAGCCAAATGAGCCACCAAGAGAAATGAGCGGCTACTCTTATGTGGCTAGCAGGGTGCATGGGCGGATCTATATATGTCTCTAGGGGTGAAATTGCAGCCCTAGAGATTTGCAAATTACCAAAGAAAGCCTTTATGTTTACAATTTGGCCCCCGTAACATTTGAAAAAGAAAACACCCAAAAGTCCAAAACTCATTACCCAAAAACCAAAAACTCTCTTATTTCATCAATCCCAATTCCAAAGATCCAAACGGGCAACCCCAACTCCATTCTCTAACTATGCACAATCCCTCACCCGCACTCTCCACTTCCCAGATCACCAACTGCTCCTGCCCAAGACCAGATTGCCACCCATAAAATGTACCGAGTGCATCTTCATCCCGTACTAGAGTTTTATCATATTAGATATTATGTTTTTAGGTAATTATCAGATACTTGTTGTCCTCCCCAAGAAAATTTTCAGGATCTGCCACTGGCAGGTGCGCCTCATAATTAATTCATCTCTTGCTAGCTCATTTCTAAATGAGTTACTTTTTCATACTGATTATTTCCTATATATATGCCCCTTCTTTATATGCCCATTCCTTATATGCCCTTTTCTACTTATTTTTAAGCAAAACAAATTGGCAAAGGAAACTTTGTAGATATACTTCTCAACTATACAGTTGCTACTTATAGAATGGGAAGTTTCATATTTACTATGCAATTCTTTTAAAATTTAAAGTCTAGACTGAAGAATAATGTAAAAGAAACTTGCTTATTGGCATATCTTAGGTAATAATAAATTATGGCTCGTACTTAGTTTGACATCACAATGAAGATTGATAGAGGAAAAGGCGACATAACATATGCTTACTTAAAATATGATTTTTTTTTTGGGAAATAACATGAAACCAAGTAGCAGTATTAAGCAAAAACATCGCTTGAAATAACCTGAGGTTCAAGCAGTTTAAGATAAAATCTCAAACATAAATTTATCATCAGTTTTAGTATTTCCATTTAAGCGAACTATATTTTGGAAAGTATCGAGCACTTTTGAGTGCATACCTGCCACCTGGCATCAGCACCCAGTTGCCTAGGCAGGTAACTAAGCAACACCTAGGTGTTTTTTCGCACCAATAATTGAAAGATGGCTGCTTCTGCCGCAACCAATAGATGCAACCTAGCAGCAAAGAGAGGCTGAGGAGAGAGGAAAGAGTTTTTATAAAGACAAATGCTACCTCCAATATTTTATCTATAAGGGATATGGATATCTAGTTTTTACCTGATCTGTTCACGTCACCACTTACTGTGCTTATTGCTTAAGGGACCCGGAAACCCGTTTCTTGTCTGGTGCGCCCTGCTTAAGCTATGCATGCTCACTTAGCCACCCAGGTCTTACTTTTCGAGGCACGCAAGCCTAAATTGGGCCTGGCTGCTGCTTACTCAGAGGCACGTAGACGGCTTTTCCGAACAATTTATGTAAAGGAAGTATAACTGAACAAAATTAAATATAAAAGCTTAAAAAGTTTGTTAAGAAGATAACTAACTGTAAGTAAAAAGCCATGTAAATCACATCTAGCACAAATTCTTGTAAAGAATTTCATGGGAACAAAAAATTATTATCTGTAAACATTTTATATGCATGCAAAAGATATTATTTTCTTTGAACAATTTATGAATAATAATGAGTATAACCTATCATGATGTATGTTACTTCAACATTGCTACATGGTGAAAAAGTATTTCACAGAAGCTTCATACTTCTTTTTGACCATGTCAAGAACTTTGATAATACTTTACCACACTTACCTTGGTAAACCGTGGATATCTTTATTCGAGATTGTCCAAAGAAAATACTATCTTTTGCAAAAAACTTTTTTACTATTGAAACATAAAGTTTTTAACTTCCTAGGGACCTCATTTTTTGGTTTATGACTTTTTTTTTGGTGTGCATGATACTTTTGAAGATTGAAGTACTTGGTGTATCTCTTCCTTGGATGGGCATCTTTACTAAGAATTCTATTGGTGAACATTTTATCGAAGATTTGCGAGAAACACTTGAAAAAAACAACTCTGTTCTTCATGGTTCAGAGAAGAACAAGCGTGAAAATTCTTTTCTACGACACTCATGTCCGAGTTTTGGTAGTGAAAAAATTTCATCTAAGGGAAGTTTTGTTGAATCAGTTCAACCAAGTGCAGTAAGCCATGGGATAGACCTTCTAACTGGAGATCTTTTATTCTCACATTCCACATCTAGATCAGATAGTTCAGAAGGTGCTGTACAAAGCAGTGAGAGCATTATTGATTTCTTTGACAGACCTGGTGCTGATAGTCAGTTTCAACGTGATTCTGACTTGCCTGCTCAGTCACATGATAACAATGGCAGCAACCATAGCATGGTCCAACATTATCTACATATTTTCAAATCCTTATCCTCTTCTAATAAGGTAAGCTGGCATTTCTCTGTTCCTTTCTGTGTGGAGACATTAATGCTGCTTTTACTTTATAATGTGATTAAAGCTGCCTTCAGATATGTTCGCTGGAAGTATGTTCAGATATGCTGAATAGTCTATGTTGTGTTGGTACACTCCACTGAAAATCCTCCCCCAACCCCATCAAGGGTGGGGAGGCTATAAGGACTCTTGTTGTTAGTTTCTCCTATCATCCTTAATTTTTTTGCCTGTTTCATCATTGGTGATTAATTATTCTATTCTCAACATCCGGTGTTCTCCATGCTCATCAGACACATTTCTCGCAAAGTTCAGAAAGAAGTACCAGATTGATATACTCGTCTTGGACAAAAATCATTGGTTACTTCGTCAGATCATGTAATTGGATGAGGAGTTTTTTTAATAACTTTTAAAGGAATGGTCTGACTTGTTTCATTTGACATAGAACGACTGATTTAGATCACTCAAGTTATATGTGCTTAACTTATCTGAGCGTTGACTTTGAAAGCTATATCAGCTTCCTGATGCGTGGCAGTACATTCGACACACAGCAGTTATCATTTGTTAGAGAAGTTCCAGTTGGAACCGAGTCTATCAATTGAGGGTGACAGAGAAAATGAAATTCCAGAAATAGTTAACTTTTAAATAAAATCCAGCGAGCATAGAGCTTGATTGGCTTTTATTGTGAAGTTTGTGCTATTAAAATTCTATACAGTTCTAGTATATATTCCTCAAATGCAGTCTCGAAAAGATGCTGTGATGTTCAAACATGTTATGCTTCACATGGAAAAGTGTATCTTATATATCATCATTTGGTAGCTTTATCGTCGCTTTAGAACATGGTTTTTGGTATTATTTTTATCTATTTATTTGAAACATTTATTTGGCATAACTATTCCTTTTAATATGTTACCAATGCACTACTAATTGCAACCCTGGCATTTAAATGGTATTGTTTAGGGGGCTGAATTTGACTTTCTTCAAGCAATGAAGCTTGAAATTGAACGCCTTCGCCTGAATCTTTCTGCTGCTGAAAGGGATAAAGCTTTGTTATCAATTAGTGTTGATCCTGCAAATGTCGATCCACATCGCTTGCTTGATGAAATGGATATGGTAAAATTATGCAGCTATGCTGACAGCCTTGCATTGTTAGGACAGGCAGCGTTTGAAGATGTGATTAATGCTTCCACCGGCCTTGACGCAGGGGAAAACAGTGTCATAGATTTCTGGAATATTAATGAACTTGGAGAAACTTGTCTTGGCAAAATGTGTGAAGTTCGTAGTGAACAGCTGGGAACAAGCTCTTTCAATATTTCTTCAAGTGACAATTCATCTATGTTTCTAGAATGCTCTCAATGTGGAAGAAGGGCATGCAGGATTTGCTGCGCTGGGAAGGGAGCTCTCCTGTTACTAAACGGTAACAATAAAGAGATGAAAATCTACAATGGTATTTCAAGTCAAGGTGGATCTAATCATGAAAGGAGTTACAGTAGCTATTCAAATACTGAGAATGAGGTTGTATGTAAATCATGCTGCAATACTGTCGTTCTTTATGCACTGTATGTGGATTACATCAGGGTTTTGAGTAGCCTGCGAAGACGAGCTCGTGGAGATAGTGCAGCACAAAAAGCTGTGAGCCAAGTTGTAGGCCATGATTTACTGAGATCATCCGATTCTTGGCAACATCAAGAAATCACCAACAGGCAATTGAACATGCTACTGGATGGAGAAGAATCTCTTGCTGAGCTCCCCCATGCTAGCCTACTACATTCAGTATTGCCTTAAAACTCGTTATCTAGTTACTTTTTAAGTATCAACTTTTTAATCACTAGATGATACTTCTGTAGAACAATTTCTACGAAAGTATTGGTGTCCATTTTACAATTTTCACTCCATTATTCATTAAATCTGCAGCTAACAGATTTTTGGAGCAAAGGTTGATGGTTAGGTTGATTTATTGGTTTGTCTGTTGCAGGTTGAAACAGCACCCCAGTCCGAGCCCGTATTATCACTACTTGCACCACTTGGTGTTGGAAAGCGAAAGTCTTACTGGAGAGCTCCTAGTAGTTCCCCAACTGTGGAGTTTTCTATTGTTCTTGAAAGCTTGTCTGACGTTTCTGGTGTTGCCTTGATTGTCAGCTCATGCGGTTATTCACAATCAGATTGCCCTACAGTAAGAATCTTCACGGAATGCTTTGTTTAGTTTAATTATTAGTTTATTACATTCTGCTTTCTGCATGGTGAAGCATTAAATGACTATATATATTTGTGTCACTCTATCATCTGATATCTTTGAAATGGTTATTTTTCATGCACATGCTGGCTACTATGTCAGATCATCTTTAAGGAAAATATTCATTCTGCAGAAGATTTCATTTGGAATTTTATTGATTCAATTGCCTTCGTAGAGATCTGGTCCCAATGTCAGATCTAATGTCAGCAAATAGATTTCCTGTTATACTGATAATTTTAAAGCACCCCTTGCTAATTTTCTAAAGCAGGGCAATTGAAATATACAAGATGCTAGAAACTGTACTTTCCAAGCTTTCATATAATCACACTTTTTAAGAACTGGATTATGATCTTAACTTCTTGACACCTACCTGTTGTAACAAAGACTTGCTTTTGAGACTTTTGCTTTCTTTGCTGGCTCTTTGATAATTTTTTTATTGGCTCGATTTGTTAGAGTTATCTTGCATGAATATTTACTGGTGGTGCTTTTAACTGCTTTACGATTCTCTTTTCTGATTCAATTTCCTCATTATTTGCTCTTGAACCTTCATGAGGCCTCTAAGATGTCTTCTAACATGCTCAAGTCCTCTCGTTTCCTTCCCTTTTGGGCACTTCAGTTTTCTTCTTGGTAAAACTCTTCTTCTTTATGTTCATGTAGAATGGAATCGCTTATTTCTTGGTGCTAGAGGATTCCAATGTCTCTTGCTCATCTACCTAATTGAATGGGATTAATTCTTGCTACTTTTTTTTAAAGGTTGATCAAATGCCTATATGATGATGATGGGAATCTCATTCCTTTTGTAGTGCCGCCCAATGCTTTTTCCAACAAACACTGAACCTCATTTTGTAGATGATCAATTGAAATCAATAGTGTCCCACTGTCTAGTTCTTTTCTCCTTTCTCTACCATATCACACTCTTCTCCATGCCAAAACTGAAGAATGTGTATAACAAAGGAACAAAGAACAAGGAATAAGTAGAAGAGAGATTACCTTGCACTTCATGAATCATACCTGTATCAAGCACTTCACACACAAAATCTTCCCTAGAATTCTCAAAATTCAATTAATCAGTTAAAGAGAAGTATGGAAGAATGTGTATTATAGGCTCAAAGGACCAAATTACTAATTTTACCATGGTGTGAAAGGAATAGCCAAAGGCATGTATAATCATGTGTTCTGTTTTCTTCACCTAGCAACCTGGCAAGTACGACAGCATGACATATCTCACGTGATGTCTTCCATCTTGATTATGGTATTATAGAAGTGGTATGTAGCTCCTCTATGTAGCTCCACACGCTTGCATTCTCCACATTGATCGGTCTCTTTAAAGATGTGCTGGGAATGCGCAAACAGTTGTTCCAAAGATAAGAACCCATCAATTAAGGCAAAACCCTTAAATGAATTAATAGATACTTAATGAAGACCATTTTTAATGATTCTTAAACTGATGGTTAGGTTTCTCTTCAGCTTGACTGTGTACTTCTTACAGCTACGGAGATCAAGATAGTGCTACAATTCTAAAGGTTATTGCTAAAGGTTATTGCTATGCTTGTTCTAAAGAAACACATGATTGGTTAGGGTTTTGTCAAATGTTTGGGAAGAGAATAAGAGCGGCAACTATAAGGGAGGAGCATGGCTCCTATGGGATACGGTTAGGATTTTGTTGTCTACGCAAAGGAAGCAAATCATATGCAATTCATTCTCAAAATTATCAAAATATCAATCAAGCTCTACTGAAATCTAAAACTACAAGTGCTGAAGGGTCGAATCAAATTTCAAATCGAATTACTAATCCAAATACAAATAGAACTCCAAGACTCTAAATCAAAATTGTATTCCTATTCAAATCAAATAGCTAGTCCTAAACTAATTGGTACCATTTCTCCAAGACCCTCTAGAATAAGTCTCGGAGGTAAGACGATCCCATCTTACAAGGTGGCCCATTCTCCAAGATCTTGGTGCAAAATCACCTCTGGTTTTTTTCCGCCTATTATTCTGTATCATGTGCATGTAGCGTTTCACTATTTTAATTTATCGATGACTATGTTACATCTAAACCAGCATCTTCTACAAATCACACTGATATTTGCAATTGTAAAGTATACAAATGTATTGCTTTTTTTCTTATTAAATCTTCATTTCTTTAGTGCAGATGATTATCAAAGTTAATCTTTATTGTTCTAGCAGAAAGCTTGCAAAATTGTGTTTAAATATTATCAGCATCTGACTATATCAGCTTTAGCTAGTTTTAACTCTACTTTTTTCTAGTATATTAGCTTTGCACCTGCCTTTTTTTTTTTCCTGGATGTACATGCACACTAAAAGCCTTATATTTTGACAGGTGCAAGTTTGGGCGAGCAATAACATACATAGAGATGAGGGGTCATGCATGGGAAAATGGGATGTTCAGTCCCTAGCATCATCTTCCCCAGAACTGTATGGGCCAGAAAATTCTTATAGTGATAGTGATATACCTAGGCACGTAAAGTTTCTCTTTCGCAATCCTGTTCGTTGTCGAATCATCTGGATAACCTTAACTCTACCGCAACATGGTTCTGCTTCATTTAACATAGTGGAAGAGTGTGACCTTCTTTCTTTAGATGAAAATCCCTTTGCAAAATCTAACCGTGCTTATTCTGGTGGAACTGTTAAAAGCGAGGCATATATCCATGCAAAAAGAATCTTGGTATTTGGGAGCTCAGCGAAGAAAGAGATAGGAAATAGTGTACAAAACCCTGAACTGATGAAGATGAGAAGTTTATTAGACAGATCATCACAGTTGGGTCGTTTCAGAGTCAGTATTCCTTAATTTCATTGTGTTCATTAAAATTTTTACATTCTCACTGATTTGTCTTTTTATATTTTTAGATTCCTGTTGAAGCTGAAAGATTGGCTGACAATGACTTTGTTTCGGAACAATACATAGCACCTACGGCTCCTGCTATAGCAGGATTTCGGTTAGATGCTTTTGGTGCTATAAAACCACGAATAACACATTCCCCTTCGCCGTTGGATGTGGATATCTGGCAGTCTTCATTAACATGTCTTGAAGACAGGCACATATCGCCAGCTGTTTTGTATATTCAAGTTTCTGCTGTTCAGGTATTTAGGAATGAAATCACCTTACATTTTCCCCTATTCACAAGTAGTACCCTAGTTTTCCACGTCTATGCACTTGAAATTAGGTTTTAATGTAGGTTCTTAATTGTACTTCTGATACTTCATTTTGTAGTCATTTTCTTGTTATTACATAGCATTGTTTCATGAACTGAGCGTGCATCCAGGATAAATTCTCTATCTAATTTGCAATCCGTGGTCTTTTAGCATTTTTTTCTATGCACTGGAAATTTTGAATCATTTAGGTCTTACAGAACCACTTTATTTTACTTCTTTACCCTAAAAAACTTTGCGCTTCAATCTCCACTCTTATGTTCCTCAACACCAGCAAACTTTTATATATGCCTGTATGTGCATGTGCGGATGGTGGCTGGACATGCATCCATCTATCCATTCCATGACGTAAGTATGAGTGTCATGTATACCCTCATGCATGTATGCATGGATAGATGTATGTTTAATGTATGATGCATGAGGATGCATGTCCATTTGAGTGCATGAATGTATGTGTTTGTACACATGCCTGTATGTACTATGAAAAATTAGATATGTGCATGTATCTATGTGCGGATGGTGGCCATACATGCATCCATCTATCCATCATTTCATCAATGCATTACGAAGCGCAATATGGGCATCTTTATCCTTGATTTTTCTATAACGTGCAATAAATTGATTCAATCTTGTAGTTTCATCTGCTACAATATCAACTTCTGGTGTTGGTGTTGGTGCTTCCCAAACTTCTTGAATTGGTGCACAAAGATCATGTTCATCCTCGATTATCATATTATGCATAATAATGCATGCAGTCATTATGTCATGTAATACATGTTTTTTTTAAAAAACGTGTTGATCCTGCCATAATTACAAATCGTGATTGGAGAACTCCAAACGCATGTTCTACATCTTTTCTACATGCTTCCTGTTTCATGGAAAAATATTTTTTCTTCCTACCTTGTGGCTGTTGGATTGTTTGTACAATAGTAGCTCATTTTGAATATATACCATCAGCTAAATAATAATTTATATTATACTCTTTTCCTTGAATAATATAGTGAGCAGGAAGAGCAATACCTTGAGCTAGATTAGAGAAAAGATTAGATAACTCCAGTACATTGATATCATTATTGGTGCCTGGTATACCAAAATATGTGTGCCATATCCAAAGATCATAATCTGCTACAGCTTCAAGGATAATAGTTGGTGACCCACTACATCCTGCGTATTGCCCAGACCATGTCGTTGAATAATTTTTTATTTCCAATGAATACAATCAAGACTTCCTAACATTCTTGGAAAACCACATTTTTTACCAATATAAAGTAACCTAGCAATATCATTAGCGTTAGGAGTTTGTAGATACCGCTCTGCTAATATCTCCACCATAGCACGATAAAATTGTCTTACTTTCAATTGTTGTTGACTCATCTATTTTAACGTATTTGTCCGTAGCATCAGCTGGTAGACCGTATGCCAACATACGAAAAACAACTGTTACTTTCTGTAACGGTGATAATCCCATTCTACCAAGTCCATCACTTTGTTGTTAAAAATAATAGTCATGATCTTTCACTGCATCAACAATACGAAGGAACAAACTTCGTGATATCCGATATCGACGACGAAACATATCTTCACCAAAATGTGGATTATCGACAAAGTAATCTATGATTAAATTCTGATGCGCAGTTTCTCGATTGCAGTTGATCACTGCATGACCGGGAATCGAGCCACCATGGATCGGTTAGTAGTTTTGTTGACGTAAATTGTTAGCGAGGATCATGTTGTTGTTAATGTACTCACGAATTACTTATTCGGTTTCATCAAACTCTACAATAATATTTTTCAGAAAATTATCATCATCCGAAGATGAAGGATGAAGATGATAAATATGATGGACTTCCAGTATCGAAATTCATTTTTGAAGTAAGAAAAGAATGACTGAAGTATGCAGAAATGAAGATAAATAATTTTAACACAACGTATAATTGTGTGGAGGTACCTAATCTAGTATGCTATTTATAAAAATTTGCTTAGTTGTATACGTTGAACAATGTGTAAAGCTGAGCTGATTTCAGGAAATGATTTCCAGCTGTTATCAATTTATCATAAAATTCAAATTTGCTTAGCTGTATACATTGGACAATGTGTAAAGCTGAGCTGATTTCAGAAAATGATTCTCACTCATAAAGTTTTCACACAATTCAATGAATGTTTAGCTATATATGTTGGAAGATGATGATAAAGCTGATCAGTTTTAGAAAATGATTCTCACTCATATAAAGTTTTTACACAATTCAATAAATGTTTAGCTGTATATGTTGGAAGATGACGATAAAGCTGATCAGTTTGTACACAACGATTCAATTTTAAATGTTGACCTTCGACAAATTCAAATTCAAATTCAAATTCAAAAGAACAAATTTGAATTGGCTATAAATAACATTCACGAATTATACTTCAAACCACTCAGTTCGAAGTATTTCTTCAAAGTATTTCTAATCTCGAAACCAACCGTTTTTTACAAAAAAAATATCTGTTTGATCATCTGGATACATGGTTACTGAAGATGTGCTCCTTTGTCAAGTATTCATGGATATTTCTCAAGACCCTATTATCGTTAGAAACCAGACTTGAGATGCATTTTGGTCTCGTGTGGAGGACAGATACAATGAACTTTGAGATCAGCATTTTGAGGTTCGTACGAGCCAATCAGTTCGTTCTCGAATGGAAATCATAAGTAATGAAGGAAATTGAATGCGCACTTGAGACAAGTAGAGAATCTGAATCCAAGTGGTGTTTCAGATGAAGATATTGTAAGTATTCTATTAATTATCTTTTGAAATTTAATATTATTGTTGAAATACAATACTTGATGTTCAACAATAATAATGCGGCATTCGCTAAAATCCAAGTGGTGCGTTGGAGATGCATTTGCCGCAGCGGCAAGGGCTTCTCCAACGCAGCGACAAAATGCCGCAAATAGCGCATTAGCCACTGCATTTCTTCTCCAATCGAGCCGCATTTCTTGCGGCATTTTAGTGAATTTGAACAGTGCGACGCCATATTTTTATTTTTCAACTTTTTATTTTTACCTTTTAATTTTATGTATTTATAATTTGACCCCAATTGTTTTATTTAAATTTATAAAACAACCCCAATAATATTTAAATTTTATAATTTTCCCCAATTGTATAATTTGGACAAAATAAATTATTTTTTAAAAATAAAAATAATGTTAAAATTTACAGTACATTATTATTAATTATAATATTAAAATCTAGACATTATAATTAAAGTCTCATGAAATACAAATTAAAAATATAAAGAGCAATTCTAATACATAATTTAAATATAAATTACATAACTGAAATACATTACATAACATATAAAAACCGACACATATAATATAAAACTTCATTAAAATAAAACATAAAATATAAACTAAACATATAATATTATATAAGATGGACAAGCAACTCTCAATAATCTGGTAGATCGGATCCAGAGTCTCCAATATCATTGAAATAATTACCAAAATTAGAAGCAGACCCTTGTTCTTGTTGATTTTTTTTTTGTATTATTTTAATTTGTTGAGCTCGAACGTACTCACGTACGTTTGGATCAGCAATGGAATTCAAATCTTTCATTATAATTATTCATCTCTATCTTTTTTTATAGCTATCTTTTCTCGTTCGATATCAAATGCTACTTGCCTGTCCAAGCTCGTCTTGGCTAACCTGTCTATAAGTCGGTTGTTATTTGTGTCGATGAAGTCCACTACACTTAACTCATGATCATCATTTTCCTTTTCAATTTGGTTTTTTTTACCCCAATAGGTCGTTCAGTTGGAGTAAATGATGATAGTTCATGAGATGTTTATATAGGAGATTCCGGAGTGAGATTTTCTGATTGTGACGAGTCGAAGTTCACACTTTGGGGTTGTCTTAGACCAACTTGTCTTTGCTGTGAGGACATCATCTTTAAATTTTTTAAAAATTTTAACCATACACCAGACATGATCAAATTTGAAACCTTTTTTGTACTTTGGTTCTTGCATAAATAACATCTTTGCTCGAACTAACTGCAAATTATAGTGAACATCAAGTTTTGTATTTCAACAATAATAATAAAATTTAAAAGATAATTAATAGAATACTTACAATATCTTCATCTGAAGCACCACTTGGATTCAGATTCTCTAAACGTCTCAAGCACGCATTCAATTTCCTTACTTCACTACTTATGATTTCCATTCGAGAACGAACTGATCGGCTCATACGAACATCAAAATGCTGATCTCAAAGTTCATTGTATCTGTCCTCCACACGAGACCAAAATGCATCTCAAAGCTGGTTTCTACCGATAATAGGGTCTTGAGAAATATCCATGAATACTTGATAAAGGAGCACATCTTCAGTAACCGTGTATCCAGATGATCGAACAGACATTTTTTTGTAAAAAGCGGTTAGTTTGGAGATTAGAAATACTTTGAAGAAATACTTCGAACTGGGTGGTTTGAAGTACAATTCGTGAATGTTATTTATACCCAATTCAAATTTGTTCTTTTGAATTTGAATTTGAATTTGTCGGTGGTCAACATTTGAAATTGAATCGTTGCGTACAAACTGATCAGCTTTATCATCATCTTCCATCATATACAGCTAAGTATTCATTGAATTGTGTGAAAACTTTATATGAGTGAGAATCATTTTCTAAAACTAATCAGCTTTATCATCATCTTCCAACATATATAGCTAAACATTCATTGAATTGTGTGAAAATTTTATATGAGTGAGAATCATTTTCTGAAATCAGCTTAGCTTTACACATTGTCCAACGTATACAGCTAAGCAAATTTGAATTTTGTGATAAATTGATAACAACTGGAAATTTTGTGATAAATTGATAACAACTGGAAATCATTTTCTGAAATTAGTTCAGCTTTACACATTGTTCAACGTATACAGCTAAGCAAATTTTTATAAATAGCATACTAGATTAGGTACCTCCACACAATTTTTCATTGTTGTGTTAGAATTATTATTCTCCATTTCTGCATACTTCAGTCATTCTTTTCTTACTTCAAAAATGAAATTCGATACTGGAGGTCCATGATATTTATCATCATCTTCATCTTCGGATGATGATAATTTTTTAAAAAATATTATTGCAGAGATTGATGAAACCGAAGAAGTAATTCGTGAGTACATTAACAACAACATGATCCTCGCTAACAATTTACGTCAACAAAACTACCAACTGATCCATGGTGGCTCGATTCCCGGTCATGCAGTGATCAACCGCGATCGAGAAACTGCGCATCAGAATTTGGTCATAGATTACTTCGTCGATAATCCACGTTTTGGTGAAGATAGGTTTCGTCGTCGATATCGGATGTCACGAAGTTTGTTCCTTCGTATTGTTGATGCAGTGGAAGTTCATGACTATTACTTCTAACAACGAAGTGATGGAGTTAGTAGAATGAGATTATCACCGTTACAAAAAGTAGCAGTTGTTTTTAGCATGTTGGCATACGGTCTACCAGCTGATGCTACAGACGAATACGTTAAAATAGGTGAGTCAACAGTAATTGAAAGTATGTTAAAATTTTATCGTGCTACGTTGGAGATATTCGCAGAGCGGTATCTACGAACACCTAACGCTAATGATATTGCTAGGTTACTCTATATTGGTAAAAAAAATGGTTTTCCAGGAATGTTAGGAAGTCTTGATTGTATTTATTGGAAATGAAAAATTATTCAACGGCATGGTCTTGGCAATATGCAGGACGTTGTGGGTCACCAACTATTATCCTTGAAGCTGTAGCAGATTATGATCTTTGGATATGACACACATATTTTGGTATACCAGGCACCAATAATGATATCAACGTGCTGGAATCATCTAATCTTTTCTCTAATCTAGCTCAAGGTATTGCTCCTCCTGCTCACTATGTTATTCAAGGAAAAGAGTATAATATGAGTTATTATTTAGCTGATGGTATATATTCAAAATGAGCTACTATTGTATAAACAATCCAACAGCTACAAGGTAGGAAGAAAAAATATTTTTCCATGAAACAGGAAGCATGTAGAAAAGATGTAGAACATGCGTTTGGAGTTCTCCAATCACGATTTGCAATTGTGGCAGGATCGTGATTTGCAATTGTGGCAGGATCAGCACGTTTAAAAAAAAACCTGTATTACATGACATAATGACTGCATGCATTATTATGCACAATATGATAATCGAGGATGAACATGATCTTTGTGCATCAATTCAAGAAGTGAGGGAAGCACCAACACCAGAAGTTGATTAGCAGATGAAATTACAAGATTTAATCAATTTATTGCACGTTACAGACAAATAAGGGATAAATATGCCCATATTGCGCTTCGTAATGCATTGATAGATCATCTATGTGAGGAATACACTAATTCAAACAGTTAAGTGCACATTAAATTTGTAATTTTTGTTAATGTTTAATTATTTTATTTTCTGTTGTGTTCTTAAAGGTATTATTTTGGCAATATCAATAATAAAAATATAATATTTTAGCAACCAAGTTATTTTAATTAATAAAATAATATTTTATTAGTTTATATAATAAATCATTTTGTTTAAAAATTTATGAAAAAAATAAAATTTGATATGTGTGGTTAATTGTTGAATTAGTTAAAAATATAGGGAATAGAAAATAATAATATAAAAGTAGATAAAAAGGAATATACTAAGAATATATTTTTTTGGTGTAAAAAATGGTGCAGTGGGTTGAAGATGAATTACTGTTTGATGTGACTTTTGTACCATTTTGGTGCAAATTTTGCACCATTTTGGTGCGATGGGTTGGAAATGGCCTTAGGCTTTAAAATATAGGAGAGTGCAACTTTAATATTTGAATCTTTTACAGGAACCAAGAAACTGTGTCATTGTTGGTGAGTATCGTTTGCCAGAAGTGAGAGCAGGAACAGCTCTTTATTTTGACTTCCCTAGTCCAATACAGGCCAGACAGCTTATTTTCAGATTGCTTGGAGATGTCGCGGCCTTTGCGGATGATATTTCAGAGCAAGACGACACGAATTTTAAAGCAAATCCCCTGGCTTCAGGATTGTCATTGTCAAACAAAACTAAGTTGTACTATTATGCTGATCCATATGAACTTGGGAAGTTGGCAAGTCTGTCTGCAGTGTAATCTACACCACAGGAATGTAGTCGTGAAGGATGGATGTCTTTTTTTCTTTTCATCTTTTTCGTGTTGTAATTTAATTTCATTCAATTCTTATTCTTGTGTATCATATAGTTTGTAATTAGCTACAGGACATTCTTCTTTAAGACATGAAATTTGTGATATATGTACTACTTCTTTGTGAGTGAAAATGCTATCACGATGCATTATTGTGTTCTGCTACGTGTTTTGTTATGGTATATTGGCCAGTTTTCTTACTTACGTGCTCAAAATTATGCTGCTTCTCCTTTTTACTACAGTCTTCATGATCTTTTCAAAATAGTTGAAAGCTTTAAACGGAAAGCAATCATATGGAAAAGTATTGTGAAAGTGTTAAGTACAGCCTCTTACCTTTAACTTGGCTATTATTTCAGGTTTGTTCTTGAAATCATGCTTCAGAAACGTCCGAAGCTGCGCCGTGAATTGTTTAAAATCTTTTTTATAGGATAAGAACACATGTACGGATGCATCCATCTCCAAAGGATAAAAACGGCACATGTATGGATAATATTTATAGTATCAAAATTCTGTAAAGGTCCATACACCAAGCATCCGAATTTTGTATTAGAAGAAAAAGATTGGCAAAGAAGGATAATTTTGCTCCATATCCTCATTCATCTCCCCACCATGCTTCTCGCTCTTTCTTTGCTCGCTTTGTCTAACCTACTCTTCCCTTCATAAGATAAGCAATGCCCACTTTGCCCTTGGTCGTGCTGCTCGTTTTCCCCCTCATCTCCTCTTCTCTGTCTTCA